AATGGAAACGCTCGTTGAACCTCCCCGCTCCGGAGATCCTGTCCTCGGACACGAGTCTCACCCCTACCAGCGCTCGCAGTCCCGGTGCGGAATTAGGCGGCATTTTGAAAACCGAACGGCCGACGCTTTCTATTTTTGATCATTTCATTTGTACTCTCGCAACATGATTAACTGCTTCTCCAAGGTTTGGGTTTTTTTTCCCAGGCCTTGAACTGCCGGTGAACTGAAAGAGAAACCGTGTCTTTAATAAGGTGATTAAATTTAAATAAGTTTTAATAAAGATACGAGCAGGAGCTCGCGTTCAGCTTTGCACCCGGCATTTGCGAGCGCTTCCCCCTTGCTGTGGCACCGGTCGTGTGGCTGCTCTCCTACACCACGGGGACAGGGAATCCAGAGAGCCGCCTTAAATCATTCCAACATCATTTTAAATACATAACTTGTCCTTGTTTACGCGTCAGTATGGATTCAGGGATCTTTCCCTCTGATCCCAGGAAAAACAAGGGCTCTCTCCCAGGGAGAAGTCTTGACTGTTAGTAATAATTATTTTTATCACAAAAGCTGTTCTCGGGCTCAGCATCTCTTCGCGCTGGGCAAAGGAAACATTTCTGCCTCGCCTCCCAAAGAGGTTTCAGCCCGCGGGGCTGGCAAGGGATACGGATGAGGGTTTCGAGGTAAAGCAACTGAGGGACCTGCCTCTGCTCGCTGAAGCCAGGGCAGATGATCCCGCCGGCTCCTGCGGGCCTCAGGCGCGGTCCTAGGAAGGCAGAAGAGGAGACACGCACATCAGAGGTTTTCTTCTAGGGTATATTTAAATGCTTTTTGATTGTTTTCATCGTCGGACAAATCTGAAAAGAAATGGAGACTTTCAGGCGTTGGATCTCAGCTCCCCTAGGAGCGCTTTGCTCCTCCGGACAGCACGACAGCGAGCGGATTGAGAAGGGGCAGGGAGCCTGCGCCGACCTTCTGCGTAGGTCGCCAACCACTTGAGCATCGCCTCTGCCAGCGCTCGTGCTGTGCACCACGCTGGGTCATTGATGGCACATCCAGCTACGTGACGGGGAGAAATCTGCAGCGAAGCAGAAGAGGATGGATGAAATAACCCCTCCGGCACGGCCTGGCCCTCTCAGCAGCCGGGGGAGCCTTGGGAGGAAGAAGAGCTCCCTGGATTTTTTAGCGCAGTACAGAAAAGGAGTGGTTCGGGCTTCTGCGGCTGAGGGGGAAAGCAACAAAGCAACACCTTTGCTTCTTTTTCTAAATGTCACAAAAAGGCAGGTTGTGCTGCTGCAAACAGGGATTCAGCTACCTGGCTGTGAAATGATTCATTAGTCAAAGAAAGGGACGGCGAGGGCCGGCGGCCGGGAGCTGGGGCCGAGGCACGTTCAAATTGGAAAGAAGATCCACGTTTTTAACAGGGAGGGTGCTCAGCTGCCAGAACAAGCTGCCAAGAGCAGCGCTATCTTTGTATCCAGGGAAAATCAAGAGCAGGAGCCTTTATGAGAAAGATGCTTTCATCAAAACAGGAGTGATCTGCTTCCATACAGCTGTAAGTCAGCGGAAATCTATAGGCTGTGATGCTCCGGAGACTGAATTACGTGATTTAACAGTCCCTTTTGGCCTTAAAATGTATCCGTCTATGATAGATGCTGGAGAAACTCCACAACGAAGAGAGGGACTCGGTTTTCACTGAGACACGTAGGACAACGATGGGGGGATTCCTGCCATACGTTTAGCAGTGACTGCTGTACCCCCAACTCGGCCTGGGGCAACGCTCCCCCCTCAGCCACATTTTGTGGGTGGCCAAAAGATGAGTCCCCAGGAGGGGCAGAGGGAATTAGGGGGTGCAGCCTCCCTCCATGAGCACATAGCGTTTGAGGTCATGGAACAACCGTGACCTGCTCTTAATTGCGGTGCCCGGCACGGCCTACCCCCACAAATTCAGGACCAGCCAGGCCCCCTCCAGTCACAGCAGCCCCTCCTCAAGCACGGAATTTCCTCCAGGGCTTCAAAGTTCACAGGAGGAGAAGCCCGGCTTTCTTGGAACAGGAGTGCTGGTCTTAACCCAGCTCAGACTCCTTGCTCGAAGCGCCTTGGAGTTATCAAACAAGCATCATAACCAGGGTGGCCCTGCCTGGGGCTCCCGAGTCGAGATCAAAGGGCAGTACAACATCCGTTCCACGTGAGCAGTTTTGTCGTGTCCGGGGAGCGCCACGAAAACACAGCTCAGAGCTGGGAGCTCGTGTCCTTGCAAAGCGTGGAGGAGAGAGCAAAGGTGGCGCAGATCCCCTCTGCTGCCTCCATACGCTGAGCGGGCAGAGGAGACAGCCCAGCAAACCTTGTCCTCTCACATTCCTTCTCTCCCCTCCACACACCAGATCGCAATGGGGATGAACGTCTGAGGTGCCAGGTGTGTGTCGGGAGCTCCAGGCACTCGGAAATGCAGGACAGGGTCTGGCAGGGTGAATCACAGAGCAGGAATCAAATGCACGAGTCTGGTCGGCAGTGGAGGAGACTTGCCACATCAACGAACGCAGATGAACTGGAGAGAGAAAGTCCATCATGAGCCCTGACAGCTCCAGCCAAAAGCAATCGGAGCAGCGATCAGTCAGCAGAGCTGGAAATCCTGCCCCGAAATCAAGCTGCCAGGCAGCTGCTGCCCAGGATGGAGAGCTCTAAGACAGGGGCTTAGAGAAGCAGGCGGGAGCATCTGCCACACAAGAAGGGGGAAATTGGGGCCAGGTAGGAGAGAAGGGAGTGGGGAAGAGGCTAGGTGAAATGAAGGCATGTGTTGGAGATAGCCAGGTAAAGAAGACGAAGGTGGAAGAGACAGGAGGGGACAGTGTGCGAAGGGATGAGTTTTCCCAAGCCAACTCCAGACTGCCAGGTTTGGGGGGCACAGGGCCACGCAGCGCCCGTCCCTTCCCACCCCCATCTGCCAGGCAGACCCCCTTGCCCACCTCCACTCCCACTGGGAAACACATCCTGCAAATCAGGGAGGTCCCTGTCAGTCCATCCTTCCTCCACTCTCCTCACTTAAAATGTTTTAGGGAATTGCCTCCAGACAGCGGCTGGGATCAAAGCGCTGGCAGTAAGGCAAGATTCACTTCTGTCCTGAGAGGGAGCAGCCAGCTGCTGAAAGAAGAGTTTGTTTTCGCTTCCCCCACGAGCTGAAAGCGCGCCTGCCATGGGGCCCGAACACCTCATGCCAACACACTCCTTCATTTTCAAGGCCTGTGGCAGCCTGCCAGCGCAGCCACAGCCAACCCGGGACCATTACACGGCTGTTGACTACAGGGTAAGGTCCAGCCCTGCCTCTACAACCGCAAAAAAAAAACAAACCCTTTGCAGTGCTCGTGCCAGGTGGCAGGGCCAAACCAGGCAGCTTTACAGAATCATAGAATCATTAAGGTCGGAAAAGACCCTTAAGATCATCGAGTCCAACCGTTAACCCAGCACTGCCAAGG